TTGATGCAAATTTTATACCACTGTGATTACCGTTCTTTTCTCTACAGGTTGATCGAAGCCAAACATCAAAACACAATTCACACCGGAGAAGCCGCCGCACCCAAGAGCACCGCCGCCGGTAAGTTTCGATTTTTCGGTTCACTGAGGGCCCTAGGGTTGTTTTATCGCAGGGACCGATGTAAGCGTGGCCGAATTCGGTTGAAAACGACCAACCCAAGACGAATCGCCGTCGTGACGGAATTGCGATATTGGCCGAAATGGGCCCTAGGTCTAATTTGGGATTTTTTGGGACACGTGCAGGTACCAGTAATGCGTTTCAGTTTCTCGAAAAAAATTCAGAAAAAATTAGGGACAGCCTGTAGGCGCACTGTAGAGTCGAATTCAAACATCAAAACAGGTAAGGACCCCTCACCCTATTTCCTATCACGGTATTGAAGCTAAATAAATAATTAAACTGTACTGTGTGACTTTATAGATGTATAATTGATTAAGATTGCTAATGGAGCCTGAGTCTAATACTGAGTTGGTTTGTTATTGTTTGATTTAATTTTCAGTATTAAATACAGCATGATGTTTGATGTAATTATATTATGGTATCATATGCATGAATCATGGTTTCTTTTATTATGGTTGGTATTATGTTTAACCCGATACTGTGTTGTCTTATTTGGTGTCCATTACTGGTTTACATGTTGTGTGTGTTTGGATGATTGAAACCAAGAAAAAAGGCAAAAAAGTTATGTGAATTGATAAATGGATAATGTGGACAGCCTAACTAGATATCCTGAGAGATGGTGGACGGATCGGGTCCGTAGGGAACCCTACCGGGAACGTGGTCTCTCATACCAGACGGGGTATGGAGACCTTATGTGTTTTGATGCCCATACCGGACGGGGTTTGGGGACGGTCCGTTTCATCCTCATATCGGACGGGGTGTTGAGGTTCATGTTTTGGGCGCCCATACTGGACGGGGTATGGGGACGGCCCTGGAATCAGGTTATAAATGTTAAGGGTTCACGGGTAGCGGGACCCTTATGGATCCCCATTGATACTAGTAGGCTGGTAAATGAGGAAAATATGTTGTTTAATGATTGAAATGTAAATGTATGATGTGTGTTATGTTATAAAGTTTATATGATTTCATGATGATAATAACGTTATTGCTTTCATGTGTTGTTTTTATGGATCTCACCAAGATAAGTGGACAGTAAAGGTTTTTATGTTAATAAACGAGTTCGTTATAAATTATGCTCCATTTGTCATTTTTGTTTTCTACCCACATTTACTTTCGTGGCGGTGAGATAGTGTGATATTTTTACTGGGCTGGTGTAGCTCATTCTTTATTTAACCATTTCAGATCAGGAAGATATTGTTCCCGAGCCCGTTCCGCAGGAAGACGACGAATGAGACGCCTAAAGACTTCATAGTTATATTTATAGTTCTTATCTCAAGTATCTATTTTAGTTAGTTTGTTCTTTCATGTTTTGAGTACGTTTCGGTTATTGTGTAAGAGATGTTAATCAAAATTTTTATTACGCTTCTGCATTTGACATTTTTAATATATATATATATTTTAAATTTTCAAAGCCGTTACATCTTATAATGTTCATGATGAATTATATAATCAACCATAAAAATTTATGAAATAAACAAAAAGTCTTAAATTAAAAAAAAAAAAAGTTATAAGAAAAACCCTAAGTTTTAAAGGTTTTAGAAAAAAAATCAAATTGTCTACTTTTTTATTTGCTCAATAAAATACATAAAATATACATCAATCACATCCATGTATCCAAACAACAAATTCAGTTTATACTCATTTTTGTAGTCAAATAGTCTTACATATATTCTCAAATAGCTACGATAAACCTTAACAATTTATATTATTATTACAAAACACATTTTCTCATACTTTACATATTATTTATTTAAAATAAACAAAAACTTCAAATTGGTCAAATGTGCAGTGCACATATATAGTGCACTACTACATATAATTACCATACATAAAAGTACTTTTTTATTTTTAAATAATATGTTATAAATATGTGGTTTAATGCGAGACACCTTATAAAATAATACATTTTACATTTTTTATTAAAAAATATTTAATATTCTCAACTATTAAATTTATTAACGGTTAATAATATTATAAATACAATATTATTGGGACGTATTAATAATAAATTAATACTACTTACTTGAAGTTTTAGATATCTTTTTTTTTTTTACAATAGTAATTAACAATTAGTTAATTACTATTGTAAGAAAAAAACGATATAGTTGATAAAATATAAATTGAGTTATTTGAATATAAGATAGAGATATAAGCTTAATGGTTGAATATCTATGTAATTTGAGTTTGTACACACACACACACATATATATATATATTTGAACAATCTCTTTAATTTATTCTTTATATTTATCTATATAATATAAATAAATTCTAACTACTTAATTAAATTGTGCTATTAAATTATTATTTTATATTTTAAATTATTTAAATTTTAAAAATTTAATTTAATATCTTATTGAGTTATCGTCAGTACTATGATTAATATTATTTAGTTAATTATTTTATAATACAATAATAAATATTAAAATGATAAAAAATATGTAATAATAAAAAAATAATTATTCAAAATGCTTAAATAATATTATTAAAATTTTAATAGTTGAAATTGTTCAACATAACTTTTAACTTCAAATAACCATTAATTAAATTTTAAAATAAATTATTTAAATTTTATAATAAATATAGCATTACTATATTTTATCTTAAAACTTAAAAAATTAATTCGTCAAAATATTTTTTTTAAAAAAAAGATTATTTAAATAATTATAATGATTATTTTTTATTATTATTTCATATTTTTTATTACTTGGACATTCATTATTAAATTTATAGTTTAATTATTATAATTAATTAAAAATAATATAATATTTTCTATTAAAAATACGTATTACAATAAATTTTACCACAACTACATTAAACTTATTTAAAAAATTATTTTATCACGTTGGAGCATATTCACCAAAAAGCTAAACGGACCCTTTGGTCCACGGGCATCAAACTTTTGCATATCAACCCAAAAAAAAAAAAAAAAAAAAAACAAGCTGCTAGAAACTCATATATATCTCTCCATTATTTCATTTTCCTCAAAAATTTTGGACATTCATTTCATTTTCATTTCTAGTTTCTACCATCCAAACAGCGGAAAAAAAAAAAAATCTAGAACCCGAGAGTCATGGTTTCTACGAGGAGGAGGGGATCTATTCCGGGTAACAATAGCAAGAGATCTTCCTCCGGGGAGGACAGACCTTCTTCTCCCAAGCGTCAAAAGGTGTCTGATTAAAACCCATATATCCAAGAAGGAGAAAGTTCCTATCTTTATCATTTATGGGTTTATTTTGGATTTTTTTTTTTGGGAAGAAAGTTTGGGTATTTGTTGGTGGAGATTTTGCGATTCTGGGTTTTGACTTTGGTAGAAATTTCAGGTGGAGAATGGTGCCGGAGCATCGGAGAAGCCGCCACCAGATGAGGATTCCAAGGAACTGTGCACGCCGCCGCCCGTGGATCCCGGAGAATGCGGTGCCGGAGACACTCCGATCGCTGGAGATGGCGTGAAGGGGGAGTCCTCCCCGGCTATGGTCGCGGTGGCCCCACCGTTTGCCGATGGTAACTTTTTTTTTTCTTTTTCAACTGTTGTCAACAATCATGTTTTTGTGTGGTTGTAAGTTGTCACTCTCGAAAATCGAGTGAAATCTGGGTTCTTTCTTTAATCTCTATTAAAGGTTCTATACCGATTTTGCCGGAAAAGCCAACAAGTTTCTCTGTCTGGAGTATGTACGAAAACACCGACTCCTTTGGTGCAGACTCCTCTCCCAGTCTGCGCAAGTAATTCAGACAGATTTATTTTTTTTTC